TAATATAAATAATCCTCACAGTTAACCAATAATCCTACATGTTTGTCTGTTTTTACCCTTCAGAGAAGACCAGTGGTCAGAGAGGCAGTGTTAGTACATCTTTAGTCTGTTTTTACATTAAAACAAACCAGTTTGGAAGAACTGAGAGGAACTCATGGTGATTTTGGAGAAATTTGAAATGTTTGTTTTATTAAAGCAACAATTAGGAGGTTTGAGCAGCTGATTGTGCACCGTTGTTTAATGATTTATACCATCCCAACCTGTTAGTGTCAGCTGGTGAAGCTCTGCTGCTCAGGGATAAAACTGTTCAGCTCTTATTTGTAATAAGGACTGTGCAGCCAACATTGTCTCCTGATCACTTTGTCTTCTTCTGTTCCTTCCATGCCAAGCAGAAATGCATGCGCTTCAACCCAGMTGCAACAGTGTGGGTGGCCAAACAGCGCATCCTGTGTTCCCTMAACCAGACCCTGAAAGATGTGCTGAACTACGGCCTGTTCCAACCGGCCAGCAGCGGCAGGGACGGCAACTTCCTGGACGAAGAGCGACTCTTTCGAGACTATCCTCAGCCAATCAGCAAGGGCGTCCCCTGTTTAGAGGTAAGCTCTTTGATTTTAATAAAAACCTGTCACTGGGTGGTGGAACTGGTTTTTTACCATCACTGCAGGAACAGTTCAGCACAAACTCACCTGCAGTCAAACTTTCACTGAAGAATGCTTTATTTTGCTCATTTTGTTGAGCTTTTAGCAGGTAAATGTTTCCTCAGCATTCAGAACTGACCAGAAATACTCTGCCTATTTCTTTAATTCTAGACTATTTTTATAAATAATAAAAAAATTGTCTTTAGCAGAAATGATATTGTTGCATGGAGTTCTAACCTAAACCAAACAGAACATTTTTATCCTACAGAAACCTCCTGTCCTGCTGCAGAAACTTATTTTATTAATGTTACATTATAGTTTATAATAGTCTGTACAGACACTTTATTATAAACTAAAGTTACATTTTAATTTATAATAAAGTGTCTGTACAGACACTTTATTATAGTTTATAATAAAGTGTCTGTACAGACACTGTATTATAAACTAAAATGTAACTTTAGTTTATAATAAAGTGTCTGTACAGACACTTTATTATAAACTATAATAACTATAATAAAGTGTCTGTACAGACACTTTATTATAAACTATAATAAAGTGTCTGTACAGAGCCGTGGAGGATTTTGAGCAGCTTGTGTAAAAGTTTTCAGTCAGCTCTGGTAACTCCTGATAATCACAGATCGATGGTCTTTTTCTTTCCCTAAAAATATCTGCACAGAATTTAACATTAATTGAATTTAATTTTTAAAAAAATTTAAAAATGTAAGTTTTAATTTGAAAATTTAACCTTAATGTAAAGAAC